TGAGCGTCCCACGGCCAGTGATGCATGTCGGTGGGGTGGTGCCATGAGGAAGGAGCAGCTGGTGGGCATCTCTCCCCCATGGCCTCCTTGCTATTGGATGTCTCTAAGTCCTTGTCTGACCCAAGGAGTGAAGTGGAAGGGGATCACATGGCAAAAGCCCACTGTTTATGCAATGCTCAAGTGAGTAACTAAAGGAGAAATCATTATTTGTTTTTATCTTTTTATTTATCTGAAAAGGATAAAAGTATATTTCTATTAAAAGGAAAGTCGGAATGTGGTCCTATTAAATAAACTAAAACTGTTGTTTTGTATTGTGGGTGAATTGCATATTTCCAGAATCTCTTACCTGGCATGAGCACATCTCCGTATCAATAGCTGTTTCCTAAAGGTGGACAGAAGCAGTCCATCTTCATAGCAGTAGGTAATTACAAAGGCGAGCAAGGACATATCTGGATGGGAAGATTGGATGGGATCTCTTCTGCAGCTGAGTTGCAAAAGATATGGGTGAGCAGAAGTGGACGACTGCTTGTAGCAATAAATGAGTTTCTCCCACTTTATTTCTCCCTTTGACTGATTTTGGTATTTTGCTCTGGGATTTTGCCCCAGGAGTTATATGTATAGGATTGTAAGTCCAGGGAGAGGAAATCCAGAGGCAAAATACCTCTAAAAACCCAAAGCAGTCAAAGGGTGATTTAAAGTTTAAAACCCATTTATTGATTACAAATTATACCCATTGATATGGGGATGAACTTCTCTCCACCCCTGAGGAATGATGCAAATGCACTAAAGCCATACTTCTTTCCTCCTCTGAATGCCTGTTGATATGCAGATGTACTAAAGCCAGGTGAGATATTCTGGAAATATTACAAGTTTACCCACAAGCCACCTCTCCAGAAATCTCGCCTTACAATTTACTCGATCCCCCTCTTCCAACCAATCTAATAACAGACAATAGCAACAGCAATAAAATCATGATAATCCTCAAGCCAGAGAATTTAGCCTATGCAGATTAAGTAAATATACTTTACAGCACAATCTCACTAAGAACAAAATACGTTTCAACACTTTTTTACTCATTCTAACAACCATGCTAGATTACTCACAAACCTTTTACCAAATATTAGACAAAGTCAAGCCTTTCTTTAAGCATTTTTTTCTTGACAACAGCAATATAATCATGGTAATTCTCAAGCCAGAGGATTCAGCTAGGTTCAAAGTCCCATGCAGATTAAGTCCAAAGCTCGTCCATTCCAGCCATCACAT